GGAAAGATGGAGAGTCCAGAAGAAAGACATCACTGGAGAAAGTGGAATGAGTGACCACAAAACCCTAATTTTGGTAAAGCACACCATTGCAATTCTGGCAATCTAAGGAATGTTAGAGATAGGCAGCAATCTCCTTCTGCTTTACTCATGTTAGTCTATGAGTATATGGTCTGGTACGAACATATTTATGATACAATATACCACGAGGAAGAACCTGCAAGCAGTCTTGTGGATCACCTCATCTCAACAGTGAACATGATAGACCTTATAGATATCACAGTGTAGATTTTGGATATCAGTATACCTGGACAGGCACCACTCCCACAGAGCAGGATCCATAACATGTGAAGAAGGTCCCTGAAAAAAAACAAAAACTTACCCATTTAGAGTTGTACCAGTGTAGGAGAATATGATATCCAGCTGAGCAGGAAACTGCCAGATAGTGCAAGTAGCATGACATCAAGGTATGAGGAGTAGTCCACACACCAGCCTGGATAATCTCCTCCAGAGAATGATGGAAATGAGCAGCCAAGGCCATTGGGAGGTGATAGATCATATGGGACGATACAAAGAACAACTGGTAAATTTCAGGAGAAATGGGGGAATAAGCAATACTGATAACCTGATGAACCCAACTGATAAGGGTGATAGGAGAATATCACGAGAAACGGACAGATTGTATTAGATAAACAAACGGGAGCTAGAGCCATGGAAGGGTGTTGTGCATTACATGTAACACTGTAAAGCATGGACTGGACACAGGAAACAATCCAGATCAGAGCAGGAGTAAATATGGAATATGGAAGGAAGGGAAATAACTGGAGAGGAAAACACACAGTAAAATGAATGAGAGATGACAAGGCCACCCTATAGTCCATAATGGCTGAAAAGAGCAGACCCATGTCATATAACCATATAAAAAGAGATATATGAAGAAGGGAAGGAGAGAATCCATGCTGGATAGACAAACAACAGACTATTCTCCATTTATGTTGATACATAGACACAGAGGAAACAACAGACAGTGTGAGAAAACAGGAATGCTACATGTGTGGGTAGTCCCAAATCCCCTCCTAAGGGACTGGACAAAAGCTACATGTGAAACTGGAGTGTGGGAATGAGGGATGAAGCACCACTGAGTAAGGTTGTTGAAGGAGGGACCGGGAGGGAGGGAGAGGTAACGGAGGTTGTTCCTGGAGAAGTGACAGGGATGGAAACCATGGCTGAGCCAGCCAGAAAGGAGCCACAAGAAGGGTCCAACATGGAGTAGATTGGATGAGAGAAATTACTCAGGATAGAAAACTGATAATAGGGTATGCACAAAGGAAAGGCCCTTCCGATCTTGGCTGAATACATCCACAGCTAAAGCAAAAAGATGTGGAACTGGGGATCAAAAGAGAGGAAACTAGGTATTCAAAAGAGAGGCAAATGCATCTAGTTGGGGAATATACAATTGGGAACATAGCCATTGGAATACCTGGGGATTGAGAGACCACTCCATGGGTAGAATCTTGCTGCAATGGGATAGACAATCTGCAACAAGATTGAGGGCACCCAGTAAATAAAAAGCCAGGAAACGAATTTGATGGCTGCGAGCCCAGAAGAGGAAATCTAGAATGCAGGAAGATAAGGACTGGGATCAAGTGCCCCCTTTACTGGTGATGTAAGAGACAACTGTTGAATTAACATAATGAATCACAACTGTCTTGTTCCGCAGAGATGACAGAAAATGATCCATGGCCCCATAAACTATAAGAAATACCGAAAGGTTGATGTGAAGATCTAATTCCTCCTAAGACCAAAGGCCTGAGATCTTCTGTGCAATGGAGCACACACCTCATCCTGATAAGAAGCCATCTGTGAAGATATGGCCACCTGGATGGGTAGAAAGAATAGTTACACCCACTGTTGTGTTGTCCCTGCCTAACCACTAGAGGAAGTTAGACTGAAGGGAATAAAGGAAAAAATATCTGTAAATCCAGATGGTCTTTGATGAGGTACCAATGAACTTGTAATACCCACTTCATGGAACACATGTGGGATATCCCAGAGGGATAAGCACCAAGTCTCCAAAAAAGAAGAACCTCTCCTATAAAGAGAGAAGGTGCTGATAGTGCCCTCTGAACTAAAAACTTCATGGATCACAGATGAATAGAAGGCTGGGCTCAACTGAGATGCGTGTCAAAAAATACTCCCAGATTAACAAGATATTGAGTGGGTTGGATAATATACTTCTCCACCTTGATGAACAAACACACCTAATCCCTTTCTCTGAATGAAAGTTGGGTGTGTGAGGAAGACTCTGCAAAAGATGGAGTCAGAAGGAGCCATTTATCCATAAAATGATGGAATTGATAAAAGTGATCCTCGTGGGCAAAACACAAAAAACTAAGTGAAGCCGGGGCAATAGGGATGTGAAGATAAGCATTGGACACATTGAAACTTATTATCCAACTCCCTGGAAGAAAGGCTCATCTAAGAGGCAGCTAGGATTCCATGGTGAATCAAGGCACATTGAGGATGTCATTCAGACAAGATGCCAATCCCCAGTCTTCTTGAGGATGACAAAAAGTCTGAAAAAGAACCCTGAAAGCACAGGAGAAACCTGTCTTATAGTGCCCTTGATGAGAAGCACTTGAACCTCTTCCGTGATATGCTGGCAGGAAACGGGATCTTAAGGGGGGGGAGGAATTGGGACAGGGGAAAAGGTGGGAGAGTCCTGACAAAATTCGAATGACCCAAGAGTTGGTGGTAAAGCTTTCCCACATTTCTGAGAAACAAGCGAGTCTGGCTCCCACAGGACCTGAATCCACAGGGTAGTCAACAGTAGTGTTGACATTGTACAGGGTATAGGTTAACAATGGTACAATGTGTAGATGTGGTCTAGGAAGGAGGAGGATGGGAAATGGGAACTGGAGAAGGAGGAGGTTGGGACAATGGAAAGATAGG